TTTTTTATTAATTACTGTTTTTTGTTTTAGTTTAATTACTGTTTTTATTTTTTTAAATGCAGTTTTCTGTTATTTTAATTTACTTTATTTTATTTTATTTTGTTTTGTTTTATATTTTTTTTCTTTCACTTTATTTTATTTCACCTCATCTTATTTTATTTATTTATTTTTGTTTTATTTTATTTTATATTTAATGTTATTTTATTTTATTATTTTTTGTACATTAATTTTTATATTCCTTTTTTTACTTTTGATTAGTTTTAATTTTATTTTCATTATTTTTTTTTCATTTTGCTTTTTTTTTATTTTTCTTAGCTTATTTGGTTTGGGTTCCGAATATTGTAGGTTAGTGTGAGGCTGGCGCAAAAAAATTAAAGTCTCACGAAAATAGAGGAAAAACGTCGGACGTTAGCGGCAGGTAAAACGGTGTTCATACTGCGGTTAGAGAAAGGAGAATTCTGTTGAGGGTTATGACTTTTATAAGGCTTCCCTGAGGAGCTCTGTAGTCGGTGTAGAATTTTGTGTATTTTTTCAAGTCACGTTGGAAAAATAGAAGGTGCCATAAATTTTTTATGCCAGCTTCAAACTAACCTACAAAATGCGGTACACTTCTCGTTTAATTTATTTTATTAACTTTACTTTACTTTTTTTAATTCAATTTTAAGTTTCTTCATCGCCTTTTTATAAAGTATGTGATCGACCCGCTAAATTTTAATTATTTTCTTTTAATTTTGTATACAAATTTCTAAAACTTCAGCTACTACGCCGATGAGTCACTGAATTGTGAAGTTTTCCATTATTGCCAAGATAATCAACGTCATTCTTGGATCTGTCCTGAGGGTTTTACTTTCCATCAAATACATCTAATCTGCATGCCGCCATCGCACGATAACATCTGTCAGCAATCGTCGAAATATCATATTGTTAACGATTACCTCTACAAGCCAATCAATCTTCATGAACACCAAAGCAAGCCAAATGTGACCCTACGCTACTCGGAGCGTTACTATCCTGAAAACTATTATGACAATGAGCGTTATGATGATGAAGAGGAAGCGCCACGCCAACGCGTAAATCATCAAAGGCAACCGGTGAGTATTAAACAAAATCGTATGAATTTTCGGTACATACAAACATACTTAACCTAATTTATGTTTTGATTTTTTTTTTTTAGGTTCAAGTTGGCTTCCAACAACAGCAGCAGCCACAACAACAACAACAACAACCCATCTATCAACAGCAACGTCAGCAGGTACAACAGGTACGTCACCAGCCCATACAACAACAACAACAGCAGCACCAACAGCAGCAAACAACCGTTTATCGTAAACCTGTCACCACAACCACGACTCAACCACAACTCATACAACCTATTCAACAACATCCGATTCAACAGCGACCCATCGGGCAAACTATTGCACCACTGGTTACACCAAGTCCTTATAGATTCTTCACTGCCGCATCACCACTGCAACACGCTGTGCCACAACCGCAAGTCTATCGTACTCCCGAGGAGATTAACATATCACTGCTGCAACGACGCCCACAACTTTTCGTTGCCACTTCAACGCCGCGTTACTATGAGGATGATTACCTGTACGAGCGACGAAAGTAAAATAAAAAACAAAATAAAATTAATTAAAAATCCGACCTCGACACTTGTATCCTACTTTCACTATCCTCTAGCCGTGTTGTAATGCTCCCACGCTCATCTCGTCCGACAAGTGCATTGTGAATTGAATTCAAAATGCAAAACGAAGTTTTCGAATTATATGTAGCTTTAAGCATTAAACCTAACGAATTATTAACAGTTTTTATTTTTATTTTATTTTTATTGATTTTACTGTTATAAAAACTACATATTACGAATTTAAAAGTAGTCCCAAAACTCGTATTATATGTGTGTACCTTAATATGAACAATTATTTGTCCAAAATGTTAGAAAGAGATTACTGATGTAATTTTTAATAATTTTTAAAAACTTAAATAAAAATACAAAAAAAATATATATATGTATTTTTAGCATTTGGGCCCTAATCACGGCATCTCTGAACGAATGGTCACTCGTTTTGAATCAAATGAAGAAATACGGTTGAAAATTCAAAGTCGATCATGAACGCCGTGATTCGTTGCCTGTTCAGCATTTTACATCAAAATCATTCAACTTAGCTTCTTCCTCTTATTTGGCACCACAGCCAATTGGCTCTTTCCTTTGGGAGGTTTTGCCCGTTTTTCATCCAGATCCTTCTGCATTTGATCCTTTCCGTGCATTACATGTGCGCCCTTGCTTTCGTTGTCTGCGAATGGGTACTGAGTCGAAGTATATTTTCCCCAAAGCGTCGTCAGCCATGCATTCGACTTACCCTCGCTAGCGCAATCGCTGTATTTTTATGCGTTTAACTATGTCGATGTCGTTAAAAAGCTCATACAGTTCGTCATTCCATCTGCTCCTCTATACTCGACGTCCACGCGAGCAGGGCCATAGATCTTTCGTAGAATAGTTCTCCCAAAAGACTCCAAAGGTTTTCCATCAGTGTTCGACATCGTCCACGTTTCTGCGCCATATAGAAGAACGGGCATGACGAGAGACTTGTAGAGCAAAAGTTTTCGATTGCATGACGAGCCCAAAGTAGCACTTGTTGACAAGAGTTATTCCTCGCTTGATGTCCTGGCTTTCGTTATTGGTGGTGTTCATGCTGGATCCCACGTAGGCAGATAGCTGCCAACAGTGGCGTGTGTCCCGAAACGCGTGGACTCTTTATATGCTTCCTGGAGGTGCTTTGTCTTGTCGTCATTTATCGCTAGAACAACCTCTTTGGCTTCTTTGTTTCAGACCGACGATGTCGATATCATCTGCACGCGCCAGCAACCTCGTGCTTTTCTGTACATGTAGCGGCTGCGATTCAGATCGGCAGCTCTAATGACGCTTTCCAGCAGCAGATTGAAAAAGTCGCACGAGAGTGAATCGCCTTGTCTAAAACCGCGTCACTCTACATAGATGTATTAGTTTTGCCGGGGATTCCAAATTTAGGCATGGCGTCGTAAAAGCAACTTTTTTCGTGCTATCAAAGCAGCTTTAAAGTCAACATACCGATTATGTGTGTTCGCTTATCTACAGTGTTCTCTAGGATTTGACGCGCTATGAATATCAAGTCTAAGCAGTTGATTCGTCCTACTCACCTCGACACTGTTTAATGTCTACATGGCAAAACTCCCTCCACCGCGAGCTGGAGTCAACTTGGTAAGCAACGCTGATTATCGTACAATAATGATGACGGGCCGAAACATCGGCAGCCTTTGCGATAAAATAATAGACTATCTCACCTATCTCTCGAACTTCTTCGCTGCAAGGAGCCTCAAAATCTCCGTTCCACAATCCACCGCCACACTCTTCACAACCTGGACCAAGGAGATCAGGCTTGAACTAGACGTCTTCATCGATGGCGCCAAAATACCGACAGCGAATCACGCCAAATTCTGGGAGTGAAGATCGATAGCCTTTTCTCCTTCTCCGTGCAGGCCTCATCCACTTGCAGCAAACTGCGGGCCAAGAACAAAGTCCTCAAGTTGCTAGCCGGCAGCACCTGGGCCGCCGACAAAGAGACCCTGCTCTCAACCGAACGCAACTCTATGTAGGGCTACAGGTTGACATCTTATATCGACCGAGCATCACCTCCATGATGAAAACTAGGTGCTGGAGGTGAAAGCGCACAACACCATGCTGTCGAAGCAATACCTCATGGGATGTTACCGACGAAACCACCTCTGCTTCGAAACGAGCCACCACCACCACACCTGCACGACTTGAAGCCAGTTATCGAGGCGTACACAGACCATCCGTCCGCTACAGCAAGATAGAGAGCGGCGCTCAACAGTCTACCCAGCAATGCGGTGAGAACGAGCCTCAACACGCGCAAAAACAACATCGTCCTACATGGTCGACACCCGCCCATAAATATAAAGCAAGTGAAACTACCGAGAGAGACCAGATCATGGAGCTTCAACTTTCAAGAGAGACCCCCGTTGACCTAGCCCAATTACGGTCTGGATACCGTAGCCGCATCAATAGCTACCTGCCAGACTCGACCACTATGTCATCAATTGGTTCCGGTATTTTGAGACTCCCAGCACGACACCAACTACCTCTTCACATGCCAGCTCAATCCCACTCAACTAACACCCCTTTCCTTTTCGTCGACCTTGTTGAAACTACCCGTTTCTTGGACCTACCGTTAGTCGAGCCTGACGAAAATGATTGATGGATGAACCGTAATAGGCGGGGCTTAGTAGTGTCTCGCATGTGGACAAGGTCCTCACAACACCCAACATCTCTTCAGATGCACCTCCAATTCACGACACGCTCTGTATTGCGCCCATCGATGCCGCTGAAGATGATGACTCATAACAGAACATGGGGGGCTTGAGCACTGCTGCTATAACAACTACAACAATTGAACCAATATAATTTTTTTAACTGCAGTTGATCCGGATTAAGTCCGAGTTAATCCAGATCAACGCAGCCTTCTGTTTAAGCTTTAAAAGTCGCATAAAATCCTTCTCTCCATTCGTCGGCCATCATTTTTTTCTGACGTTTGCAAGCATTTTAAAATCATATCATGATACAAAAATTTGAATATTTTTATCCGGACTCATATAAAATAAAAAATAAAATTGTTTACAATTGTTGTTGTTTGAAGTTGAAAATGAGAAAGTATGTGTGAGTTTGAGTTTTGAATTTTAAAATTATATTGCCGGCAAACGTCAGACTTCTTCTCAATGGTCTTACCTAGTAATTTTTTTATAATGCACCCACCCTAGCAGTAGTCAATTTGTATTGAACTACGTAATTCGGGTAGCATGGAAAAGCCGAATTACTCCCAGTCGAGTATATAATTCATCATTGGTGCCACCCTGTAAAACTTGTTGCTACTCGCCGCTATTGCAAAATTAGGCGCTCGCCTTCTACTTCCGGTAGTGCAGTTTTTTGACAGTTTTCTTTTATCCTATTTCGCGTATGTCGTGTGGCGTGTGTGTCTTTTTAGAAATTTGCCAATTTAGCATGTCTTTTATTTATTGTTAATAAAAAGCATATAATTTGCAATGGTAACGCAAGAATTTCAGGCTGTAGTGTTGGCAGCTGGACGCGGTACACGCCTGCCAGAAGTGCTGGCCGACTCGCCGAAATGCCTTGTGCCTATTGGTCCCTATCCGCTGCTATGGTATCCTTTAAATATGTTGCAACAGCATAACTTTCAAGGTAATAGTTGTAAATTTAATTGAAATTTGTTTATTTACTTTCCGTAAACTCGCAGATGTGATTATTGTGGTATTAGAAAATGAGCGCTCTGAAATACAACAGGCCTTGGAACGTACATCTCTGAAAATTAAGATTGACTTCGTGCCGATTGATAGCGATAGCGATTTTGGCACCGCTGATAGTTTGCGACTCATACATGATAAGTAAATAGTAAAATTATTTAGCTTCTGATTTGATTTACGTTTATGTATGTATGTATATTTTCCAGAATTAAGTCGGACTTTTTGGTATTATCTTGCGATATTGTTTCGAATGTTAGTTTATATCCGTTGATCAATAAATTTCGCCAACACGATGCTGCACTCGCCGCACTACTCTTCAAAAGTGGTTTCGAATCAGATGTAGAATTGCCTGGTCCGAAGACAAAGCACAAACCGGAACGTGATCTAATTGGTATTCATCCGGAATCTAATCGTTTACTTTTCCTTGCATCGACAAGCGATTTCGAAGAAGTAATGAGTATAAATGCTCACCTATTGCGCAAGAATGGAAAAATGACGATTTTCTCACGATTAATAGATTCTCACATTTATGTTATGAAGAAGTGGATAATAGACTTTCTGCTTAAGGTAAGACCAATAAGTTTGAGTTTTTTTTAATAAACCTACGTGTATTAATTCCCCATGCAGAAAGAAAACTTCTCTACCCTCAAAGGAGAATTTCTGCCTTATCTGATCAAAAAGCAAATGTCCAAGAAATCGGGTACATCAGCCGCTGCACCAGATATACACTCGGAAGTGGGTATCAGCATAAAACCCGAAAATGATATTTTTCATGTAAGCACGTTTCTATATTCTTTATAAGCGGATTTACGTTTTTACTCATGCATACATAATTATTTATATTCAAAAAATTTAGTATGCATCAAACACACAACTCGAGCAACGCATACAGACAGCCACATTGTTTAACGATTCTCGCATCAAAGAGCCCTACAATGGTGACGTGATACGTTGTTATGCAGTTATAGCGCCAAAGGATAGTATTGGCGTACGTGTAAATACTACTTTAAGTTTTTTCGCGATTAACCGTAAGGTAAATAATGTTCAAAGAGTCTATTACATGTTTACTCATCGTATACTTTTCGTAGATTTCCAATATTTGGCCAAAATTTTTCAACGAACAAGACCACGCACTCGTTTCAGCGAACGCAGTTATGAATTCGACACAGACAAAAGAAATCGCTGTAGGTGACAGTGCTAAACTGTCCGAAAAAACTTCGCTTAACTTTAGTGTTTTTGGTGCCAATTGCACCATTAATCCGAAAAATATTATAAACAAATCTATTATAATGACTAGCGCTATTATTGAAGAAGGGTGAGGATAACATCGGTTAGTTGTGTGTATTTACATATAACGATAAAATTATTTCTTTCAATTTAGCTGTAACATTGAAAATTGTATTGTGGGCAGTAGAGCTGTGGTTAAACGTGGCTCTGTGCTGAAAAACTGCTTGATCGGGCCAAGTTTCGCTGTGGAGGAAGGTACGAAAAAAGAAAATCAACATTTAACAAATGCGGATGGTTTTATGGAGATTGATATACAATAAAAATAATTAAACAATAAAAATTAATTACGTGTATACTTTCTTGTGGTTAAACGAAAGTTGCATTTTTTAAAAAAATGTAATTACAGCCCATTTCTTTTTTATTATTGCCAAAGTATTAGAACAATAAGATCTGAGATCTTTTATAGTTACGGTTCCAAACATATTTCTAAAAGTTCTAATTAAAATCTTTGGAGTTGTGGTGATAAGTTTGAAGATTTTTTTTTAATTTCTGTACCTATAGATAATGAGCTAGGTATACTTTTATAAAAAAAAAAAATAACAATAAAAAAACAGAATGAAGAGTCAAAACTGGTCGAATCGTTGAAGTCGCGGGCTGTATGTAATAATAATAATTGATTGGCGCTTACACATAAGTCAAAGGTTTGGCCAAGCTTCTCCGATCTGTGGAGGTTAACAAAGAGGAGGGACGGACCTTCAGTTTTACTCCGACTCCCAATGCCGATTGTATTTTAATGAGAAGCAGTTTTTCATGGCGAAAATACACTCTGAGGTTTGCCATTGCTTGCCGAAGGGCGACCGCTGTTAAGAAAAAACCTTTTTTCTAATTTTTTTTGCGCGTATGTATCTTTTATTTCAAAATGGAGTTCATGATATCGAGTGCGACATGTGGCAATGGGATTTTTCTTTCTGTTTTGGTTTGATTCTTCAACTTCTCCCTCATTTTTCCTAATTTTTCGTTGTTTATTTACTTCGCAGCTGATCGTCAATTTCCATATTTATTTTTTGCAGAGAAATTTCGGTCAAGTGCTTTGGCAGATTTTCAAACCCAAGTTTTCAAATAGGGGAAATGCTGTTGTTACGTCGGCTGCAGCCTGCACTGCGTACCACGAATATTCGCTTGTATGCCAAGAAATCAGTAAAACAAAATAAGATGACTAGCATTTTGTCAGGAGCAGGTAATGACAAACAAGTGCATCAGGAAACCTTGCGCTATATATACCCTTTCCCGCGAATAAATATTCGTACCGATATTTATTTGCGTGTTAAATCTGCCGATGTAGTCGAATATCCGAACGCAAATGTGCTTATCGCAGAGTTACATGGTGGTCATGCCAGGAATTGTCCGGTGACGATGCAAGTGGATGTCAGTGAAGATGAACGTTTAGTAAATATTGTGGTAAAGAAGTTAGGGGACACTTCAGATTTTTATTGTAACCTGGAGGTGCCTATTCGATCCGATCTCATTGTTGAGGCCAGCGATAGTGTAAAAGTGCAGAATATCTTCAGCTCGGAGGTAACGGTGCGAGCTAAAAAAAACATAGAAACCAAGGAAATTCGAGCCGATAATGTGACATTAGATAGCGCTGCTGGAAATATCACATGCAAAGGTATGCTCTTAGGAAAAATAACTAAAGTGGAAACCAAACAATTAGGGGTAGGTACATAGATACATAATATGAATGAACTTGATGTAAATAAATATGTATTCCCATTTTCTGATTCAAACATTTATTTCCCAGAATATTTCGTTCGACAAGTTGCAGGGTGATCAGTTAAATTGTAAGACAGATGCGGGCAGTATATCCACGAGCTCTTGCTACGTGGAAGAGTCGAAATTTGAAACCAATTCCGGCTCCCTACAGCTAAGAAATGTTCACAAAAAAACGGAAGTTGACGTGCATAAGGGAGGAGAACTGAATATGAGTGAGTAAACACTTGGTCCTATTAGCAAAAATTTTTTTAAATGCATGTTATTCTGCCAGCTGGAGTACATGGAAATCTTACGGTGCGAGCCAATGGTGGAAAATTAACTCTGCAACTTTCCGAATTGACAGGGGAGAATGTTGTTAAAGCAAAAGAAATAGAACACGCCGTTATAAATATTTCTGATCGCATTGAAGAACATTCTAACATTGAGGTAACATCCCGCGCCGTGATATTAGATGATACACTATCGCATCTGCAAGATGGCATCGGCAACAACAATACTTTATTTCGTAATTCAAAAACTGCAGATGCTCAAAGTATTTTAATTGTAAGCAGTAGTGGCGAAGTTAAACTGGGAAAATTGTCCTGGATGGAATCTTTGCGAGAACAACTAAATACATCCGCAAACAAGTGAATAACTTGTAATCGGAAATGCTTATGAACTCTCCATTACAGCGTTGCTTCTTGACAAACATATTAGTATGTGTGTATATTAATAGCTTGCAATCCGCTTACATATATGGATACATTTCAGGCACTAAAAAATCGAAGTTTCCAATTAAAAAATGTTTAAATTTTAATTTTTGTGTATGTTTTCTAGACTAATCTGTATTTTGCTGTAGCATAATCGTGTAGGTTGATCATTGTCTTCAATGCTGAGCGCACTCTGTAGATTCTTCAGATTGTCATCATTATTCTCTTTCAAAAATTCTTGTAACTGCACTTCAGTTCCAGCATTGACCATACGCACAATGAGGTCGAGAATGGTTAAATAGCTC